AGCCTAAATCCTGGACCATTTAATCACTTTATGCACTTAGATGCATAAAGACCTTATGCTCTTAATGATGATTAAGTACTACTGTCACAGTAGTACTGTGCAAATCACTTGATGCCCAAAATAATCTGGGCCTAAATAATGTTAGGTCCTACTACCAAGGCAAGCAAGTCCATCTCCAATTATGATATATTATATTTTATCACCTTATAATAGTCTCATACTGCTCTTACATAATTTTCCAAATGATTAGACATATAAACTATAGACTAAGTATCTTTTCATTCCATTCACTTTTTCATTGATCATCTTTTCATCATTTCAGTAATTCTTTTCTTTTTATGTAATTTTTGTCATGATTTTTATTTTAAAGCCATATGCTGCCACTGAAATGTTGACATTTGGTTGTGTGCTCAGTGTGGTTTTGCTAAGCCAGACCCCTGGCCTTCCTTTTCAGGAGGGTAAAATAAGGGTTTTTTATTTTTGTTTTTTGATTGTAAATTTAAAAATCAGCCTATATATGTTATTATTTCTTTGTTCAGTGACAGAAATTTTATAAATGTGTATAGCATACAGCACAGGCTGCGATTCACACGTTAATTTTGTATGGAGAAGGAGTTGTTGCAATACACCATTAATCCTATGGATGGCAAACTTGTGTTGTTTTTGGCTTGTATGTGAACAAGTCATGTCTGGATACAAAAGGGGACAGAAGGTCGGCTTTGGTTCCATCATTTATTTTCTAAATGATTCAGTGAACGGTTTCTAGAACTAAAATGTGCATATCCATATGCAGTTCTTAGAGAAAATCACCATATTTGTCTCATTAAATCTCTGCTCATGTTAAGAGGGGCTGAGACATCTTGGGAATGAGGCCCTGCACACTGTTTTATGCTATAACAGAAAGTAAAATATTTTGTGCAATAGTTTGGCATACATGAAGACAAATTCTGACTTGTACATATTAGGATATAATTTCTCTCTTTTTAGTTTCACTCATCACTCTTTGTTAGCATGCAGTGTACTGTGCTGTTCATGATGTCCCTTGTGCCAAGTTTTCAGATGAGCATGATCCAGTGACCTAGTTCAGATCTTAATTGAATGGCATGCTCTCATGCTAATGAGCATTGCAAGAAGCATCACACTGCACCCTCATACCTCTAGGGCACTATCTGAAACTCATGACTTGTTAAAACCCATTGTTCTGACCTTATGTTTATAGTGATTATTAGGCTATCATTTTGAAAATAAGATTATATAACAAACATCTTGCACCATCCCAACAATAATACACACATACATAAAGAAACAGCATTGTTTCACATATCAAAAACCCTAACACCGCCTTCCCAAATGCAAAGTAGAGCATGCTCTATAGCCTTAATATCAATAATGTCCCTTTTTATTTTGGTTACTTCATAACATTATTTATTACTGGCTTTATATCCTAGCAGCATGATGTACCTTTAGCAGAAAAAAGCAAGACATTTAGGAAAAACAAAACTACCTTGTGGAAACATCTGTGAGGAAAGAGATTTGTTCTGATGTTGTAGAAAACATTCAAGCAGAATGGAGGTTCATTAGGCACACTATTAGAACAGTGACTTGATAAATGGATTGATGATTCATGAAGCACAACCTAAGATGAATATGTATACAGAAAGAAACAGCAAAGATATCTCATTTTAAACATCCATATTAACAGTCTATGGTTACTTTTAATTTTACTAAGTGAGAAGTCTGTATAGTGAAAATCTTCATTTTTAGGCCTCAAACAAATGATTGTGATTATGACTGACTCTTCATTTTCTGCCATTTACACATCACCTATTACGTTTCAGAAATTTGAATCAGTTTGGGCAATGAAACCAAGAACACTGCAATCCTATGTTTTCATTTAAGGTCAAAGGTCAAAGTGTTTATTTGTCCTATGCACAGTTAGGAAATGTGTTTCCCTGTACAATGAAATTCTTACTTTGCTGTCCACACGAATGCCACAAAATACAAATGAAATATAAAGTAGATAAATAAATAACACCAAATCTAAGGCACGTTAAGCAGCAAATGCAGCAATATAATAAAATATATAACAATATAATAAGAGAATGTATGCTGCACTTAATGCACCTCATACTGATGTTTTCAGGATTTGAATTAAGAAAATATCTTTTCCCCGCTCTTACATGCTGTCATAACCAGTCAGTATAATGTGTTCATACATGTGCGTTCACGAACACAGCAGTGGGTTAAACAGGTCAGTGGAGTTCAGACAAACAACTTGACCTTCCATATGCTGAGCTGCCTGTAATGATTTATACAAGGTAAGCATCTTAGGGAATGGCTGAAGAACTGAACTTTGAAAGCTTTAAAGGATTCTGATATAAATCCTCACAAGTGACATGGGCCAAGGATCACGGCAGCAGGAGGTGGAACCTTCTGGGAGGTATAGGTGGGTCATCACACGCCAAGACATCACAGCAGATCAGTGTGTAAGCCTAAGTTCAAGATCATTTTCTTGTGGGCTATAATCTTAGATTTAAGAATCTGCAGGCTGTTTTCCATATATTCCAATACTGTGAGGCATTTCTCACCGGTATGTCCCAAATTAAAGCACCCACGATGATTGTCAACCCAGAAGTCTAAACTAAATCCTAACATCATATCCAGTCTTGTGAAGACACTACTTGAACAATCAGCTGTTCCCACTGCACTTCTGGCCACAAATCTATACTGAACACCTGTCTTTAAAGATAGATTCATAGCTTTGTTCTACCATATGTTCTAGGTGAACTATATACCTCTTACTTTTCTAGCAGTGACCAATGTAACTGTGGGGGCTGCACATGCTGATGTGTGCTCCTAATATTATGACTGTGTAAGAAAAATCACATCAGTGTATACCAGTGAAACGGGCAAAATTGCATGTTTATGATAAAAATAAAAATAAATTTCATCCAAAATGTTCCTGTAAGCCTGCAGTGTTCTTAGGCTCATATTCTAAATGGCTGTTATACTAACAATAATAATTATATACAATCTTAAGATATTTTAAACTTTTGTCCGATTGAAATGTACAATATTCACTTAACACAATAAGACACACTGAAATAATGAGAATATTATTACTTATAATGTCTAATACACACAATCATACAGATGTAAATATACCAGTTAGCTTATTTACGAGTTCTTCTTCATCTTCAGGTATTTTTTAAAATGAATAGTTACAGCAGGGAGGGTGGTTCAGTGGTTAGACTCTTAGCAAGAAGGTTCTGGGTTCCAACTTTGTGGCTGACTGGGGCTTTTTGTGTGGAGGTTGTTCTAACTCCTGCATGCTTGGGTTGATTGGTGACTAAATTGTTCATAGGTATGAATGTGAGTGTGACCAGTTGTCTGTGTCTGGGCACCAGCCCTATGATAAGACTGGCGACCTGTACAGAGTCACCTCTCGTGCAGTGTCAGCTGGGGTTGGCTCCAGCCCCACTACAACCTTCTATGGGATAAATATATAGTTCATAGGTGGATGGATGTTACATTATACTTTTAACAGAATAAAAATACAACATAAAAACACTACAGGAGCAATTTGGGAAATTCCTTGTACACCTGTTGCTTTGGTTAATATAAGCTTCTCTGAGTTAGATATTTTGCACAGTGTCCTTGATGCAGCACTGCAGAAATAGAAAGAGTAATGATGATTTGTTTGTACATAAAATATGCCTGTGTTCAATAGAAAGTATAAAACCCTTTACATCATTTAAAACAGGAAGCACAGACTTCGGCAACTCCTCTTCCACAATGGTAATTTATTAATCTCTAGTTCCACACGGGGTAATCCTTTCTTGATCCTAATACGATAGCGAAGATAGAGATCATCCATTGTAATACAAACAGAGAGCAGGTTACCAAAGGACAGACTGAATGCAATTAGCAGTCCTAATAGTGCTGATAGTTGGATTAGCTGATTCCAAGACAATGCCCTTCCTCATAGATTGTACCTAATTAAACCATCTTGGGCCCTCTCTGTGAGACTACACTGTACATCTGTGGTATTTGTGTGTGTACTTGTGTGGGCAAACAGTTTTATACCATGGGAGTGAGGATATTTTAGCAAAGTGAGGACCCTACTTTCTGGCACATCTTAATAGGGCTGTTTGAGCATTAACACTTTGTTTTAGGATTCAGGTTAGAATTAGGTTTAGGTACTTAGTTGTGATGGGCAAGACTGGGGTAAGGGGCAAGGGGATGCATTATGGTAAATGGTCTTATACTGGTATAGCACTTTTCTATCCTTTGCAGCCCACTCGAAGCGCTTTCACACTATTTGCCCATTCACCCATTCGCACTCCCACATTCACACACCAGTGACATCACTGGGAGCAAATGGGGGTTCAGTGTCTTGCTCAAGGACACTTCAACACATGGACTGGAGAAGCAGAAATTGAACTGCCAACCGTCCAAGTGAGGGACAACCCGCTCTACCTCCTGAGTCACAGCTGCCTGCTGTCAATGAGTGTCCACACAAGAACAGGTGTGCAAACGTGTGTGCCGATATTTTTCTGAGCTGAAATAGTGTCTCAGTGATGAGACAGAAATTGGATACAACTGATGCTGTCCTGAACTCTGGAGTTGGTTTCAATTTTTTTATTCCAATGTGGGCCATGTTTGGAGATGTTGCACTGCTTCTAATCTCCTAGGCCAAAGAGGGTTGTTGTTGAGTGAATCAAGCAATTAATTATTCAGTGATTTAATTAAGTAAATGGTGTGTCAGACAGGCCTATAAATGACTCCTAGTTGACTGCCAAAGACAAGTGCACCTACAGAATATACTGCACTGGGTATCACATGAAAAGCAAATTGTGATTTTTTTTTGTAACAATTTAAAATATTATGAAGATTCCAGAGGGTTTCTGGATCCCAATTGATCTGGATATGGATAGCATCACATCTCTCAGCCTATTCCTCATCCCCCAGGATCATCTAAGACAAGCACCTTCTATGCAATGGCCGTTTACATGTTTGTCATTTTTATTTCAGGCATTTCCATTAATGCGCTTACAATTGCATGCACCAACGAATACAAGAAGCTCCCATCCCACCTCAACTACATCTTGATGAATTTGGTGGTAGCCAACCTTCTTGTGTTCATTGTGGGCTCTTTCACTGGCCTCTGCACCTTTGCAGCCAGATATTTCATCTTTGGACCTCTTGTATGCAAGATTGAAGGTTTTATGGTTACACTTGGTGGTGAGACGAATTTTAAACACAGTTATGCCATAAGATTAAGATACTTGTATTTTAATGAACTAAAAACTAATTTTACTTTATATCATTCCAGGAATGGTAAGCCTCTGGTCTCTGGCTGTCATAGATTTTGAAAGGTGGCTGGTCATCTGCAAACCACTCGGTAACTTTATTTTCAAACCTGATCCCACTTTAGCTTGCTGTGCATTCACCTGGGTGTTTGCACTGGTTGCCTCAACTCCTCCGCTTTTCGGATGGAGCAGGTTAGTATTACACACACAACCTTACATTTAGACTGATCACACTGCAAAACTGAGATCTACACTTAACGTGCTTGCAATTGTCTGTTCAGATATATCCCTGAAGGTCTGCAGTGCTCCTGTGGACCAGACTGGTACACCACAAACAACAAATACAACAACGAATCCTATGTGATGTTCCTCTTCTGCTTTGCCATTCCCCTCACCAACATTGCCTTCTGCTATACTCAGCTGCTCTTTACAATGAAAATAGTGAGGCATTAAACAAACTACAGCAGAATAACCTAAAAAGTATTTTTAATGATGATATTCTAAAGACTCAGTTCACTTCTCTCCCTCAACAAAAAAAAAGTTGTCTCATGATTATGTAACATTATCTTATCTGCCATCTAACCTTGGTTCAAAATTTGTTTTCGTCCCAACCCTCCCCTCCATCAACAGGCAGTGAAGGCTCAAGCTGAGACTGCCTCCACTCAGAACGCAGAGAGAGAGGTGACCAGGATGGTGATCAGCATGGTGTTGGGCTTCCTGGTGTGCTAGGTGCCATATGCCTCCTTTGCTATTTGGGTTGTGAACACTCGTGGGACACCTTTTGACGTCAGATTTGCTTCTGTACCAGCCATCTTTTCCAAGTCGTCAGCAGTGTACCGCCCTGTTATCTATGTTCTGCTCAATAAACAGGTCTGTTGGATGTCCTGTCAAATTGAAAACAAAATACTCAATTACAGGATGTAATATACATGAATGGAATAAAAAGCATGACCTTGGACTTTATATAGAAATACTCTGGCTTAGCTCATATACAGTGGGTACGGAAAGTATTCAGGCCCCCTTAAATTTTTCACTCTTTGTTATATTGCAGCCATATGCTAAAATCATTTAAGTTCATTTTTTTCCTCAATGTACACACAGCACCCCATA